ACGCCACTTGCCGGCTTCTTACTTTCAGATGCAGTGAGACGGTACCTTGCCGGACGGCCAGCGCAATGCCAGCAAGCAAGGGGATCCCAGGTTGACCCCGGACACAAGAAGCACCCAGAGTCTATGCGTACAGGAGAACTCCCAGCAACTCGCACTCGGATTGGCGAATCCTTGGTGCGCATCAAAGATCAAGAAGCCACCGCTGAAGACAGGACTCAAGCCAAGGTGGGCCTGTATTGAATAAGCTACAGTAAGTCTGCTTTCTTCTAGGGACACGGTTTTTCCACCGCGCATGTTGTGTCTGATTTCGACTCAGTGTCGCTGCAGATGATCTTTCGATTGCGTGTTGTACTTATGCTGCGTTGAAATACTAGTACAGGTACTAGTAGCATTGCAACCAACTGCGGCAGAGTATGGGTAATCGGCATACGCAAGCCTGTGTCGGAGACCTGCCTGAAGCCTGAGGCCTTGATCATGCGACTCTACTTACCTTACCGCGGCCAGGAGAATGCGGAGCAGGTGGTGCCATGGCGCAGGAGCCATGCACAAGTGTGCTGCTGGATGGGGCACTGAACCGAAGATCTGACTCAGAAGATTAAACACACTCCCTCTGCAGGATGTTGTACGCTTCATTGGTTCAGCTGGTCCCCTGCCACGGGAAAACATGGAAAACCAGCATATAAATTCGCTTCTGGGGCGATGGCTTTCGACGCAACACGGCATCACGAAACATCGTCGCTGGACCACCGGAGTTCTACTGTGTGTCGTGTTTCGGAGACTTTGCACACTTTTGCACCTTCCGGTGATGCACAGTGGGCTGCCGAATGAAGGCAGTGCGCTTGTGAATGATGGAACATGGTCGAACAACATGTTGTCACATTTTGACTGCATCAGGGCGCCCTCGGGAGTTTGAGTTTGACTTGGGAGCTTGAGACATGCACGCGACACGGCGTCGGTCACCTGGACAGCAGCAGCAGACGCCAACCACATCTCCGTCAGTCGCCCAATGTGTCCATCAAGATGCTTTGCATTAAGTTCTGAACCTTCAACCACAAACAGTACCTGTACCGCAACGTTCGAATGTCAAGGTGGAACGCCATCAAGCAAAACCTGGGAAAGGAGCTGCCACCTATTCTACCGTACGGAAATCTGGCCGCGCCAGCAACAGCAACAGTCCCCGTGATACCAGCGATGTCGCATACCCACTAGCCGGAAATAGATACAGCGATGGCGCTGCAGGCGTCTCCATTTTCAGCGAAGCGCCCGCTGTGCGGCCCGGAAAGGGAGGTTATGTCCCCGGTGCTGCGCAAACTGCCGCAGCTGGGCCTGAGATCTGCAACGGTTGTCCGTGTGCATGCGGAGCATCCAAAACAACCGCAACGTCGCAAAAGCTCGTGGACGCGCATGGGCTTTCAAGGTGCGCCGGGCGGCGCCGTCGTCGGGGTCATGACCGTGATCTTTGCGGTACTCGGCCAGGAGCTCCTTTCAACAAAGCAGTCGTGCCAACGGCTAGCGGCTGGCAACTCCACAATCTCGACCCATCTCTCGCTCAGGGCGCAAGCTCGCCTGCGCAAGGACCGCGCTTTGCGCGGCTTCCGCCTCCACCTGCGCAAGGCCCCGTGCCATCGGCCCCAAATGGAAGAATTGAAGTGCCGGAGCCACGCCTGGCGACTGGTCTCGCGCAGCAAGCTCTTGGCCTCTTGGCTGAGTCCAAAATTTTGGACTCCGGAGTGCCAAAGACTTTCAGCCTGCCGTGTCGGCTCAGACTCGTTTCACGTTTCTGAAAGGACTCTGGCTCTGCCTCGCTGGTGCGCAGAGCACAGAAGAGGCTGCCGCCCTCGCCGCACTGTTGCAGTACCCGGGACCTGAGGAAGCCACAACCACCCGCAGCGCAACTACCGTGGCCCCTGTGGGGCAAGGGTCAGGGGCATAACAGATAGGATTTACGCCAAAACTGGTGGATAACTCGGGGGGGGGCTACCATATATATATATATACCTGCAACATTTTTGACCCTATTATTATTGGTTATTTTTATAGAACCGGGTTATTCTATTGGCAACCGATTATTTCGAGGCGGCAGAGCAGTGCGACCGTATTTCTTGAAGCCCTGGGCCGGAAGGAGACTTTTGGGGTTCGAGAGCCCAGAACTTAGCCAATAGCACGTCGGAAGCTAAAACCAACACCTCAAAGCTTCTGCCCTGTCGATACAACCAATTCTTCCAATCCCTAAACCCTAAAACAGAAAACCCTGTTGCATACTGAAGCGGCACAGGGGGTCCAGAGATCCTAAACCCCCAAGTTTCTGAAATTATGAAGAACCCAAGACCCTAGAAGTCCATGAACCTTAAACCTCTAAGGCCTAAACCCTAAAACCCGAAACCCTAAAACCCGAAACCCTAAAACCCGAAACCCTAAAACCCGAAACCCTAAAAAACCCGAATCCCTATCACCCGAAACCCTAAAACTCGAAACCCTAAACCCGAAACCGTAAGACCCTAAAAGTTTAAACACTGAAACCCAAAGTCCGGAACATGCCTCTTTCGCCGTGCTCGTCGACTTCAATGACGGGATGAAGGCCGGGTCAGGGGTTTCGACGGGTTTAGGGTGTTGGGCTTTTGGGCTTCTGTGGTAGTTTTTGCTGAAGTGCTCCCTTTGCTAGCAAGATTGTCATTCGGGAGGGACAACTTAACAATTCGGAGGTGACACGGCCCTCATCGTCTTCGCCACTGGCCACGCCCGACCTCGGCAAGTGCGCTTCCCCACGGTGTGTGCCAGACATGTGTCACATTCTGCATACATTTGTGAATTTGTAAGAATCTAAAAGCATGCTCAGGGTGTGACTTTACAGCAGGCATGCGAAAGTGTGGTGATGAAAGCCGTTTTGGCCAGTTTGAAGTTCCAGGGTTTTGGGTTTTGAGGGCCATGGTGGACTTTTCGAAAGTGCCACACTTGTGGGAGGCAGTGGCTCCACTGAGGAGGCGAGCCCAAAAGGGCCGGACATTGATGATTTCAGCTGTTCGGAATGTGCCCCAAGTTTTGGGGAATGTGAAGAACTGCAGCGAGAACTTCGATATCTTGTTTCCGATAGTGCAGATCATGTCAAGCTGTGGTAGGGTCGACACGCCATCGGTGGAGATCCTGAGTCCACTTGTGGTGGAGTTCTACTCCCTTGCGGGATACCCCGATCCGAATGGGATCGAGGCCATCGCCCACCAGGATGCATGGGCTATCAAGAGGTGCTTAACCCTGCTTCGACGAAAGTGGTCCCGTTCGGAATCGCCAAAGGACCCCCCCGAGTATTATTGAAGGATGTATTGCATGAATTAAGATGAATAATGCTTTGATCTTTTTTGAACATGTTGTTTGTAGTGCTCTAGGACAGCCGAGCGGCTGAATTGGTACGCCTCTACGACACGGCCTTCGGCAACTTCCTTCGTGTTTCTTGCTCGAAATCACATTTGCATGTGGCCATTACCATAGCCCTCTCGCATCTGATATGTCCAATTCTAACCGACACTAATGAAGTTGAGGCTGGTGGCAATCCGCAAAGCCTGCGACGGGCAGACACCGGCGATGATGTGGACGATCCTTACATCGAGGAGGGTGAAAGTGATGAGCCGTCTTCTTCAGCGAGGCCTTCAGGATCTACGAGCAATATTATTGCAATTTCGCCTGCAACGGCTTCTTCGGAGAGGGCTTCGGGATCACCAGGTGATGTGGTTTCGCCTCCAGCAGCTTCTTCGGACAGGGCTTCGGGATCTACGGGGGCGAGTGATGTGGTTTCGCCTCCAACGGCTTCTTCGGGCAGGGCTTCGGGATCTACGGGGGCGAGTGATGTGCCGATGCCGGAGCATTACTCGATAGATGACCTTGAACCTCGATCGCTGTTGTCTCTGATCGAGGAATTGGGCCCCGGAGACGAGGATCAACCCGCGGTCCTGGGGTCGGACTCTCAGCTGCTGCCACACTTGGCACCCTATTGGTCCGGCTTCGATTCGTCATTGACCCCATTGGGTACCAGAGCAGACTTCACTACAGACGCTGGGATGATGGCCCCTGCCACAACCGATGTGGATGAGACGGTGGCAAATGCTACGGGCGACGGGGCTGCGACGGCGGCCAATGTCATAGCCGGTGCGACTGAGCCTCTGGATACGACAATGGTCGATGCCACGACCGATGTGGGTGAGACAGTGGCCGATGCTACGGACCTCAAGTCCAAGATCCAGGCAATGAAGTACGACCAAAAGATGCTGAAGGCTTTGCTGTCTGCAAGTACGACAAGGTTGGCCGAGTTGAGCCTGTTCCGCAGTTGAGTTGAAGTTGTGCATGTGGATATGCTACATATCGTCGAGTATACAGCTCTTGGCTAAGCCATTCTGAGGCGCAGAGCCAATGCCATGGAAGGGTCTAGCCCGGGATCAGCCGGAGTCTTGTCTATAGAAAGAGTTTGCAATGGTCGTGTTACCAAAACTTGTATGCCGTCTGTCGTATGCACCAACTGTTGTTTGATACTCTGAGGACAGCAGTCCTCGCCCGACACCATGGATACGTTGCCCTGGGACGGTTCTCCAGTGCGATCTTCGTTCGGATCCGGGACTCGATCTTGTGTCATAGACCTCGACACTCCAGAGAAGGCTCGTGTGAAGCAGGAGTGTTTGGATGATTTGCCAGAGCCGGTGCAGACGGTTACGTCGCCGGAGCCAACCCCGGTGCCGAAGCCTTCTGGTTTGCTCTACAGGGAGGAGTTGACACCAGAGAAAAAGGTTTGATGCTGCGAAAGTCATTCATGGATCGATAGATATCATTAATTATCCTTGTCTTTGCAGCCATAGGCTTTTCCATATCCCAGGTGTCGACGAGGGAGGATCAGCTATCTTTGAAGGCGACAAAACCTGACGAAGACGGCAGTGGCCGAGGCCGGGGCAGGGCCCGTGGCCGTGGCCGGGGCCGTGGCCGTGGCCGTGCCGCCACTGCGAAGAAAGCAGCAGATGAAGGCGAGCGGGGCGATGAGTGGGGCGATGATTGGGGCGATGATTGGGGCGATGATTGGGGCGAGTGGGGCGAGGAGTGGGGCGAGGAGTGGGGCGGCGATGATTGGGCCGATGATTGGGGCGAGGAGTGGGGCGATGATTGGGGCCACTCCTGGAAGGATTCCGGGGATAATCCAACAAAGGGATCAAAAAGGACTCGTCCTTCCAAGGCCAAGCCGAAGCCCTCAGACGAGGCCAAGCCCGCAGACAAGGCCAAGCCCGCAGACAAGGCCAAGCCCGCAGACAAGGCCAAGCTCGCAGACAAGGCCGAGCCCGCAGACGAGGCCAAGCCCGCAGACCAGGTTTTGGTGCCGAAAGCCAAGGCCAAGGCGAAGGCTTTGGGAAAAGCCCGCAGAGGAAGTGCCGCCTCCTGGTATGATCGCGACAACGAGGATCATTTCCCCTACCCCATCACCTTCGCCCGTCGAGCCCGACCTCGCATCAGAGGCAGCGATGCCGACTTTGTTTGGATGGCCATCGCTCGGTCCTTTATCGAAGAAATTGAGCCGTTCATCGAGCCCCAGAGCAAAACCAAAGCCGAGGTAGGATCCAGTGGAACCGGTTTCGTTGTGCAACATGTTAATAATTCTGCTCATGCATGTCGATGATATCAATTCTTTGTCAGGGCCACTTCTACGTGTATGCCCGTGCCCGGTGGAGTGAGAGCGACCTGTACCCCGAGAATGATGGCTTCAAGGAGGTCTTTCGTATGGCAGCACAGGAGTTCGTTGTGATTCGTCCGTCCGCGGAAGAGGTTTTCTGTGATGAAATAAAAACCCTAAACCTTAAACCCAAAATCTAGTGGTAAATAGGTTTAGCTATAGTCTATGTTTCTGTCCCTGCAGATTGCCCGCTTGCTGTCCGACTGATCATGATGAGCAGCGATGATCCGCAACCTGGTTTTGCTTCACTCCTTACAAAAGGAGTGAAGGTGATTGAGTGCTACAGTCTGCTAGAGGCATGAACCCTTGTGTGTGGGTGCATCCATTCAGAATCCTGTGCCCTTTGAAATACAAACCCCATACGAGCTTACACCCAAACAGGAAACGTGTATTTTGAATAGTTGCGATACTTCCTTATCACGACATACAAAAAGGGCTAACGGGAACTTCTGAAGTTCGAACGGGGAACTGCTTGGGTGTGCTTACGTACAGTAGATGCTCGTGCTTCGGTCGCAGCTAGGATGACCCCGGCTTTTCAGTGTGCTGATCATGCTGAAGCCCTAGAGCTCATTCGCGGCAAAAAAAGAGTGCCTCTGGAGTCTGTGTGTGTGCGCCAAGAACCCGATTAAGGACCTAGGTCTTTAACCCCTGACCCCTATTAACCCTAAACCCTTAAACCCTTAGGTCTGCAGCTTGCTCACGCAATCTTCGAGTGCTTGCAGACAAGAGCTTCGATTGCACAGATTCCTCATTGTTTCTGCTGTCAGGTACATGTACTCCTGGCTGCAGACTCCAGATGGGAAAAAGAGGCCTGGCAAGGGCTGGGCTACTGAGGCCCCACGCCGATGAAGGTGTTCCCCGGCACGCTTTTGTGCACCTGCCATGTGCAAGCTTCTTTGCAGGGACAGTCGTGATAGGACATGCTTTGAGAGACGTGTTCTGATGATCCGCTGCTGATTGAATCTGCTGCAATACCGCAGCTTTGGATGCTTGGGACTTCGGACACTGCATAGACCTTCAACTGACGGCCGAACCTTTGCTAGCGAGTCATGCACTTAATTGGGTATCAGTTTGCACCCCGTATGACCACGATGTTGCCATGCCTCCGCGACATGAAACTCTGGAGCTGAAGATTGTCCACCTGGGAGCACCCAAGGCTTTTGGTTTGCAATCGGTGTCAGTGACCGCAGGGTGTGATGGGGAGTCTGCTCTTCATGGATATGTTCAGCTAAGGTTTCGTTCGGTGCATCCTGCTCGTCCTGCCGAAATCCTACATCTCCTTGGATAAGGACATATTTAGTTTCTGCAGTCAGACGTCTGCAGACAGGTTCCCATTGTTCGAGATCAAAGCCACACCAAACCCAAAACCTTAACCCTAAGCTCCCAAACCCAAAGCCTGAAAAAAAAACCCTAAACCCCCAAACCCAAAGCCTTAATACGCGAAACCCCCAAACCCAAACCCTTAAGACCCTAAACCCCAGAACTCCAACCCTTAAAACCCTAAGCCACCAAACCCAAAGCTTTAAAGCCCTAGCCCCCCAAACCCAAAATCAAACCCCGAAAGCCTTAAACCCCTAAGCCCTCAAACCCAAAACCAGGAAGCACTAAACACAAGCCTGTGCCTCGGTCAGGAGTTCCACTTTATCGAACATTTCCTGGGCAAGACAGGCTGGCTGCTTTGCATATGTTGCAGCCGAGTGGTTGTGGGACCCTTGTATGTATTGTGCACTGCTGGCTCTTTGCATCATAATTTATGAATAGGCCTCTATTCAAAGGACTAGGACGTGGATTGTAGCTCCAGTAATGGCTTGGGCAAGAGGATCCCAAAGGACAGGTCCACCACAATCTAGAAATCGTGTGAAGCTTTAAAGCCCTAGCCCCCCAAACCCAAAATCAAACCCCGAAAGCCTTAAACCCCTAAGCCCTCAAACCCAAAACCAGGAAGCACTAAACACTAACTCCAACCCTTAAAACCCTAAGCCACCAAACCCAAAGCTTTAAAGCCCTAGCCCCCCAAACCCAAAATCAAACCCCGAAAGCCTTAAACCCCTAAGCCCTCAAACCCAAAACCAGGAAGCACTAAACACAAGCCTGTGCCTCGGTCAGGAGTTCCACTTTATCGAACATTTCCTGGGCAAGACAGGCTGGCTGCTTTGCATATGTTGCAGCCGAGTGGTTGTGGGACCCTTGTATGTATTGTGCACTGCTGGCTCTTTGCATCATAATTTATGAATAGGCCTCTATTCAAGGGACTAGGACGTGGATTGTAGCTCCAGTAATGGCTTGGGCAAGAGGATCCCAAAGGACAGGTCCACCACAATCTAGAAATCGTGTGGGTGATGTGTTTGGATTAACCTTTCTTGCTTTCTCGTAACTCAAATTATACGTCCAAATATATGAACCTTTAGGGGGCTACTGGGTCCCTTCGACTTACATTTGCGGTTTGATAAATATATAGGAACGTTTGGGGTGCTAGCTGAACATAGTGGCTTCTTTAGCTTGTATAAGTCCTGTCTTGGGAAGCTTTAGGGTTTTGAGCTAGGCAGGTTATTTTTATTAAGTTGTGTGCTCTTGGGGAAGAGTGGCTTGGATCTTCTTCTGTGCGAGGGGTGCACCTGAGGGTTTTGTACGGGTTGGGTGCAAGCCCGTATAGTTCCTAATCCTACAGTTCCCACAAATAAGTCCCTAAGGCGGCATTTGTCACGGGGTCCAAGTTAGGGCTGGCTGGGGCTTCTAAGTTTCTAATAGACTTTAGGAAACTAGTGTTGGAGGAGGTGGTGTCTTAGACTAGTCTATGAAGCTTATGGGTGGTACTTGAACACGCTGGTCTCTTTGGGTTACTAGAACTTTGTTGTGTTACAAAGGACCCTTTTCAGGACCCCCCGGGGTGCTTCTTGGACAGAATGGTTTCTTTAGTAAATCTAGGGTGGGGTTTGGAAATCTGGTTTTAGGAAGTATTCGGGGTTTGTTGGGGTAGAACTTAGCTCCTCAGACACCTAAACCCCGAAACTCCTCAACTTTTGGAAATCTTACCGGTCATCCGTCGTCTCCTAACCGAGACCCTCCAAACCTAAGCCCTCAACTCGAGAACCCTTTAAACAAAACTCTTGCCAAGGCATTACTCCAGGGGCTTTGACCGCCGGATAATCCAGAGCTTCCAGCTGCAGCCTGAAATGCGGGCACTGCTTGGAGATGTTCGCTGCTGCAACTATGACGGCAAAGCTGTGGCTTAGTACCTCAGGGGTTACTGATTGCTTCCGTGTGCAGAGAGTTCAAAATCTATTCGGAGTTGTGCAAGCACTGTCACACGAGATTGCTTCATATGCTCCGGCTTCCTGATTCTATCTTTCTCCTCTGGTCTCTGCCTCTGTCGCTCTCTCTCTCTCTCT